TTAGTTGGTCGGTTTGCATATTGTCCGTTGCCCTTTGAGCAGTGAATTTAAACCAAATAATCCTTTATTATTTAAATTTTAGTGTTCGTGCATTATGTTGTCTCTTGTCTGTTCGTTTTTATTTTCTCAGTCCCAGAAAAACTGTCAAATCAAATCCAACTAGCCTATTGTGTGATGTTAACATGCAAATGTTGCGCCCCTTCTAATCATGATAGTCCTGAGGCGCTCCATTATGATTTAGCAGGGATTTTCACACCTTCATTTTCTTTTACCTACTTCCACACCACATATGTGAAACTGGACCAAAGGGCCTGGCAAACGACACGCGGTTACAACAGTGGCTTGTAGTGGTTAAGCCAAAAATGGAACACCTTATCTGTTATCATTCTCATCTTCTGTTTTTGGGCTGTTTTTTTTTTTTTTTTTTCTTAACCAATATGCTATGCGCTCTACACCTCTTCCTCATTTTCTTCATTTCTTTGTCTTCATAGAATTTTGAGGTGACCTTGACTATCTAAACGTTGCTTTTCTATTTAATTAGACGGGTAATTTTAACTTCAAATTCACAGTTGAATTGAGGCAGGATTGTATTTGGACTATACAAATAAAATTGACGTGACTTCACTTAGCTTAATTCCTGGCATTTGCATTTCACACTGTAAGTGACCGGCACCATCCTTGCAGATGAACCAAGACAGACCAGTGTTTGCTTGTTTGGTCCTGAAGCAGGCTGTCCTAGGAAATGAACTCTGGTCTGCTTCTTAGTGGACCAAAATGGCTCTAGTCTAGTAATTGGTTCCAGAATTGATACTTTCTCTTTAGTGTAGTTTCAGGGTTTAACAGTTGATGTTTGTTTGTTTACAATGATAACAGATAGATAGTGTAAGTGCATATTCTACAGTCTACTGTAAATAGCTCTACATTTTACATGACACCAAACGTTCACATGTTCACTTTCTTGTTTGCCTGAGATTATCATCTATTTATTCATTTATTTGCCCTCACCCACTCACCCCTAAGAGGAAGTGCGGAACAGTATGTCCCTGTGACCATTAACAGCCACAGTTTGTCAAAGGACATTTGATACTTCAGTGAACAGGCAGCAGACAGAAGTTTAATCAGCTTCATTCTGAATATAACTACGGGGCTTACATTTCACTGTTGAATTATTAAAGGGTTTTTTTTATCATGTTTTGTAGTTTGCTTGTACCTTAGGAAAAAAAGCAGTTGATGTTGGTGAAACTGGATACACTGTGCAAACGTTTGAGAGATTCTAATCAAAAACGTTTAAAAAAAAAAATTGCATGTTGACATTAACGTTTTTTTTTTATTTTTATCTCCCATTTTAGAGACAAAGACGAAACGGATGATATAGAAAACAAACAAACGGCTGCCATAAGAGAAGGTACGCGAAACACACACAAATGTCACCTTACTTCAAAAAGTTGGGGGGGACGGAGAGGGGATTAAAGCTTATGTCTTTGTGTTTGTATTAGAGTACACTTTAAGCTGTTGTCAAAGTACAGCAGACCAGCAACAATGCTGTGGTTAAGGTGATTACAGGAGAGATTAGCCTTTCTACACTTAGGCTTTTCCTACTTTCCATATTGTTTTCCACTTCTGTTTTTAGAGCTGTTGCACATAATAAGCCCAACTTTTGTAATTACTTCTCTACAGGCAAGAGGAAAGTTTCTCTAACATTTTTATACCACGTACCTCAAGATATAACAGGCCATACTAAAGTTTCGGTATTTGTTAAATGAAACATCAATTCATTAAATTTAACTACATGTGATGAATGCTGCTCAAAGCCTCTGGCGACCAACACTACTTGACCAGAAATAAATCTGTGATCTTTTTTTTTCTTTGTGGACAAATTGACAAAAAGGTTTCTCTGAACATAAAGCAGAAACTCCCTCTGGGATTTCCCAATAAACAAACTAAAACAGTCTGACAAACATGTTGACATTTTCCCCCACATTGGATTTGGTTTCATACCAGTTTCTCTCACGTGTTCTGTAAATTAGCTTCCTATTCAAACATGCATATTTTTGTTGCTAGGGTTATTTTTGAATTGTGTGGGTTGCTGATTGGATAAGAGAGCAGTGCTATGTCAAATACTTTTCTTTTTTTTTTTGTCATTGGCAGTGCTATGTCAAATACTTTTCTTTTCTTTTTTTTTGTCATCGTTTGATTCGATTTTATAACATTTTTACAAAATTTCAGTTACAAATAATCATCCCTCAGATAAGAAAGTAGCACGGCAGGTGAAATTGAAAGACACCAGTCATGATACTGTAGCAAATCAATCAACAAAGGATCCTTTGTTCTACAGAAAGATCAATCTTGGTGATGACGTGGAGGCTTTTGGACATTTGGCCAGTATGTTTTTACATTGTCCATTTTTCCCCTTTCTTATTATTTGCATCTTCAAGAGGAAGGGTTTAATTTTGCTCGCCAGACATGTGGTTATTATAGAGGAACTGTGCAGAGAAGAAAATTCCCTGCAGCGTTTTTCCTTCCCTACATGCCATCGTGGTACAAGAGAAAAAAAGATGTGAAAGTTCCACATAACTGAGTAACGTTTTGGAAGCTTACGTCAGTGATGTAAATACAGGAATTAATTCAGTTGTACACAACAACATTGCAAGTACTAAATAGACGTTAGCCAGTGGTCCGTCTGCACATGCTCTGATGAACTCTAATGTGACAACTTGTTTGTTAATGTTGATTACAATAATAATTATAATAATAATTAGAACCTTTATTTCCTCATTATCTAATTATAATAATAATTAGAACCTTTATATCCATTTTCATATCCATTACAAGCCGTAACTTTTAAATCTTGCTCAGATTAGTTTGCTGTGGTTGTTCAAATTAATGACTCCTTTTTACATTTGAATCTAAAATAATGGTTAAATCGTTAAAAAAAAAATAAAACAACTTACAGCCGCAGCAAAATGTGCGTTTGAATATCTCAATTTTCATTTGCATTTCCAGCTTCTCTGGAGTCAATTTGCCTTCATCGTTCTGAGGAGCTCAGAATTAAAACAGCTCAATTGTGAACACCAACATTTGACGTAGACTGTCCAAAGTGTTCACAGAGAGTGATCTGTTATATTTACACGTATGCGTACAGCATGAACATATACTATGGTTTAGGTGGGTGTACTCTGTTATTAGCACTGCTTGTATTACATACATGCACACTGGTGCTGTTAGAGCTATAATGGGCTACAGGCTATAAAAAGATAATGTGTATATGTGGCCACATTTTATCAGTTGTTTTTTTGTTATATTATCATTAGGGGTGTGTCTAGGCAAGAATATGACGATACAATACGGATCAGTGCAATATACTCTGATACTATAGGCGCGACGGTATATTGATTTTATTTTTTAACAATTTAATTATAAGAAAAGCAAATTAAAATGACCCAACGCTATGAATATTTGCATGTTAATTGTTATTAATATAGTGTTGTAGATTATCAATACGTTACTATAAAACGAAATATGGGGATATTTCAGTGTATTTATATTTTCTTGGATCATAGCCATATAAAAACCACAAAAAAAGTCCAAGGGACATCCAGTGGAGATGTTCAGCAGTACCACTTGTCACTGTTTTTTTTTTTTTTTTTTTTTAGTAAACTCAGTGTTAACAAGCAACAGTGGTTTGAGTGAGAGAGTGAAGGCGCTAAAGTTGTAGCCGCAGGTTAACATTCACAAAAAGAAATCCAGCTGCTGCATCACATGTCCCAACATGAAATCTGTACAATGCAGTCAGTATACTGCCACTGTAATGTAAAAAAGAATAGGAATAATGATCTGCAGTGCCCCCTGCTGGTGCATGCACGGTATCTAAAGCAGCCTAATGTAATAGTATGCTAAACTCCACAGCATTGACAGTTCCATGTGGACTTTAATGTACTGGGCATAATAATTAAAAGGTGGAGCACAATGAGGATTTTGCAGCCAGTTGTTGAGAGGATCAGGATGTGATTATCACATGTACACTGCAGTACACTTTCGCAGTCTGTATGGTGTGAATAAAGTGTGTATTGTTGTGTGTCGTTATAATCCAGAATATATACAATCCAGAATATGTATATAATAGAAGTATATACATGCATACCTCACATACTGTGATGTCAAAACTTCTGTTGAGGTTGAGGTTGAGATGATGGTGAGTTTCTGACCTCCTTTACACACAGGGGCTCTAGACCACACATGGCCAACCCGTGGCTCATGCACCTTTCGGTTTCATGCGGCTCTTACGTTCGTGTCAGGCCAACCCGTGGCTCATGCAGCTTTCGTGTCGAATTTTATGTTTTATGTTTTGTTTTTGTTTTTTAACACTACGTAAATTGCATGCAGAGGGGGCGTTGACACAAATGAAAACCCAGTTGCCCAGATGTAAACATGTACACAGGAAGTTTTAACAGTGTAGGAGAGTTTTATTTTATTTTTATTTTTATTAAGGGTTGGGGCAGTTCACATGTGTCCATGTATATCATGTGGTTCTTTGCAGCAACACAGTAAAAATGTTGGCTCTTAGCCTCTGACTGGTGGTCCACCCCTGCTCTAGAGTCTAGACATTCCTTAAAAAACAGTGACCTCTCCTCAAGTGTTTTCCCTAAATAAAAGCGTTATTCAGAATGTAGCCAAAGTTGAACATTTATGTCTCAAATCTGAGTTCACATGGACTAATATAATCATTTATTCAAGTTGTTGCATCACTGCCACCTATTTTTGACTGCTGAATATTTCCACCAAGAAACCACCAGTAACAACTGAACAAAGTTCCAAGGTGTGGCTTGTATATTGTACAGCAGAACATTTGTCTTTGTCTTTTTTTTAACCACTGTATTTTGATCATCAGGTTTGCTGGAATGGGTAACCTGCTAAAAGTCCTAACAAGAGAAATAGAGAACTATCCACACTTTTTCCTGGACTTTGAAAGTAAGTCTGGCCAAGAAATGGGACGAAGGAAGAAAAGATAAACGGGGCGGTGTCAAACCACCTCGGCTGTTTCCTTTCTGTAAACCAGGTCCGGGCTCCTGATGACGCAGTCATGGAGGAGTCTGCTCCTGCTCCCATCTTTTCTACTTCACTTTTCTTTCTTCTTCCTCTCAGTAATGACCTTCTCTTTCGCCGATCCGATCTTCCTCTTTTTTTCAAGTACCCTCTATTTGATGACGTTCTAACCTCACACACACACACACTTCTTTCTTTTCTTTTCTGTTTTGTTTGTCTCTTACAGAAACCAAATGGGGAATCTGTTAAAAGTGCTCACTTGCACAGAGCTTGAACAGGGGCCCAACTTTTTCCTTGACTTTGAAAGTGAGAAAAGCCTCTCTCTGTCCGTCTGTTAGGTCAACCCACCTATCCCCAAAATAGATTCTAGTTTCCTTTGGTCAGGGGTCAGCTTATTAAACTCAACATTAATCAGTCGATATAATTCACAAATAATTTCTGTCTGTATTTAAAAAAAACAAAACAACAGTTTTGCAAGAAAGATGAAGCTGACCCTTGACCTTTACGGCCTGTCATTACTAACCCTGCATGACCCTGTACATTTACATACAACCAGGCACATTTGCTGATTCAGTATGATGTAGTTACAAAAGTATCAGTGGTTATTTTCTGTTGTAGCCCCATGGTCTGACCTGGTCTGTAGTTCTCTGTGATGTAGTTAGCACTAGTTCTTGTTAAACACCTGTGATGGTTATTTTGCATAGACATAAAATCTGCTGCAAAACCATTCTTCCACACATACCATGGGCTTTCAGCTCTTTTTAAAACACGACAAATAAATCTAATCTGGTCTTTTTTGTCAAAACCACCCACACAAACTAACACAATACGCCTCCGCTGTGGCATTTCAGCCGCACTCACAATGTAGCCAGCCCAGGCTTTGTTTACCCGGCAAAAGAGGAAACGATGGGTGTGTAACGGTTTTGAAATGCAAAACAGGCTGAGCCTACACACACTGTAACGGTTTTGAAATGCAAAACAGGCCGAGCCTACACACACAGAGAGAGTGATAATGTCAGTAATGCTCTATATGGGTTTGTGATGGACAGAGCTTATATTATGCCTACACAACAAAATTATATAACATAACAAATACAGTATTGTAGGTATGGCAAAGCCAGGAAATATAAGTTGGCCTTTAATCGCAGAGACCTCCAGCATAAATACCAAAGTTCCATACAGACGTTTGTTTCATTATGAGTAACCTGTGTTGATGTGATGTTTACACATCGTTCTGTTATTGTGATTTCACATCAGCGGAACGTAAATCTGCAGTCCTGCAAAATAACATAAGACAAGAAAATCCGATGTGATTGTGTAAAAAAACAAAAACAAATGCTATGTTTACAGATCTGCTGTTACCATGTGTTTATTCACAAGCTGTGTGTGTATGTTTCTCTCTCAGATGCCCAGCCGACAGAAGGTGAGCGAGATGTGTGGAACCAGGTGAATTCAGTCCTGCAGGACTCTGAGAGCATCCTGACAGCTCTGCAGGCGTACAAAGGCGCAGGCCAGGAAATCAGAGATGTAAGGAATTAGAAAACGTCAGAGAAACAAAAAATTAGCCAACTGTAGAGGGTTGTTTTTTTGGTTTGTTTTTTCTTCCTAATTTATGTCTGAAATAAAATTATGTAATAAATGAATAATTAATATTCTATGTTGTTTTTTTGTTTTTTTTCTTTCTGCAGGCTATTCAAAATCCAAGTGACCTCATGTTGCAGGAACAAGCCTGGAATTCAGTCTGCCCACTGGTCATCAAACTCAAACAATTCTACAGCTTCTCTCTTAGACTTGGTATGGGTACAATTTTTTTTTTTTTTAATTTTTTGTCAAAATCCTAATTTAGCATCTGATTTTTGGTCAGATGTTTAAAAACTAAAATTGAAAATTTTTGGAAAAATATTTTTCAAAAAAGTGTCTTGTCTGCATGTTTCTCATCAAATCGAAGCATTTTAAGAATGTTTTTTTTTTGTTTTTTTTTTTTAGGAAAAAAAATGTTGCAATTCTTTGGTAAAATCTGAAAAAAAAATGTTGCAATTCTTCGGTAAAATCCTAATTTAGCATGTCCTTTTTGGTCAGATGTTGAAATTTTTTTTTTATTTTTGGGCAAATATTTTAATATAAGAATTGCTCAATTTTTTACTGTATTCTTACACTGAAATCAGATGTTGAATTTTTTTTTTTTTTTTGGGCAAGTATTTTAATATAAGAATTACTCATTTTTTACTGTATTCTTACACTCAAGGTAATGTGTGGGCATCTCATGTATTGTTTGCAGAGGAGGCCTTGAAGAGTTTACTGCAGTGTCTGACGTGTGCGCCCTTCACGCCCACCCAGCATCTGGAGAAAGAGCAGGCATTGGCCAAACAGTTTGCGGAGATCCTTCATTTTACTCTACGCTTTGATGAGCTCAAGGTCTGCTATGACGAATGAAGGGATTCGCTCTATAACAAACATCTAGTTCATGTCCAACTGAAGCAGTGACGCAATAAAGCAGTGGGGTTTGTTTTTTTTTTCCCTTCAGATGAGAATTCCTGCCATCCAGAATGACTTCAGCTACTACAGAAGAACTATCAGCCGAAACCGAATAAACAACATGAATGTGAGTTCCCACAAATTATACTATTTAAGTTGCTATAAATACATATATTCCTTCAATTTAATCATGACATTAAGTATTATGCTGCACGCACATGTGTAAATATAACAAACCACTCTCTGTGACACGTAATGTCATTGGTGACCTCTGTATGTGCTTTAACAAATGCTAACAAATCTCAAATGAGAATTAAAACCTAAAGTTTAGTAACTTATATATATATATATGTATGTGTATGTATGTATGTGTGTATATATATATATATATATATATGTATGTATATGGGTATGTGTATGTATATATATATATGTATGTATATGGATATGTGTATGTATGTGTGTGTATATCTATATATAAAATTATAATTATAGGTTGAGTGGTGTAAATGTGGAACAGTTTCATTCCCACTGACCACATTCGTCTCTGTAGGGTAATGGGAATTTCTAAACAGTTATTACAAGAAAAGAAAAATCCCTCCACACTTCCCATTTTCCATTTAGTTTCTGTTTCTGTTTAAGTCTAATAACCCTAATCTGTCATTTGCGTGTGGGTTTTTCCTCTTCACCTGCAGTTGGACATTGAGAGTGAAGTGAACAATGAGATGGCCAATAGGATGTCGCTGTTCTACGCTGAGGCCACACCCATGCTGAAAACACTCAGCACTGCAACCACAAACTTTGTGACTGAGGTGTGTTTAACCGTTAAACCGTTGTTGCACCCTGAAGCTGCTGAGATGTATGTAAGAGTCTGACATCAGTGTTCTAATGTCATTGACACGATTGGATTTCTTTTTTTTTTTTTCTTTTTTTTTACACACAACATTCCATGTGATAGCTTCACTAGCTTACCTTAATATTACAATATTGTAAATGTGTTTTATCCTCAAAAGGAGCTTACTAGTATATTTATCTGGAATGCATTTGACTTTTAATGAGTCGGGCAGATCATGAGATTATTGTCGGCAAATGTGGCCTAGTAATTAAAGCAGCCCATATTCTAAGGATTCAAAAAGTCCTTCAACAGCATGTACACTTCAATGGAATTTTTTTTTTCTTTATAACAAGCCATACAAGAAATGCTTCAACAATGTTAAAATGACAAATAAATGCATAACTTGCTGGTTTTTGGGTTTGTTTTTATTCTTCAGAACAAGACTCTTCCACTGGAGAACACGACAGATTGTCTGAGCACCATGGCCAGCGTCTGTAAAGTCATGTTGGAGACACCGTGAGTTAACAAGATTTGCCAAAGAAAAGATACAAAACACTTCATAAATTCATTTTTTTCCATTATGCTCCAGTGGCTTCTCAAATCCTAATCTGTAACTCCTAATTTTGTTGTGTTCCCAGAGATTACTCGAGTCGTTTCAACAGCGAGGACACGGTCTTGTTCTGCATGAGAGTCATGGTCGGGGTCATCATCCTCTATGACCACGTCCACCCCAACGGCGCCTTCAACAAGTCCTCCAAAATAGATGTAAAGCAGACATGTTCAAACCAATCCTCACACAACACAGCTTTGAGTATTGTTGTTTTTTCACTTTACTGAATCGTGGACTCTGATCGTTTCAGATGAAAGGCTGCATCAAAGTCCTAAAGGACCAGCCAGCAGACAAGGTAGAAGGCCTCCTGAATGCCCTCAAGTAAGTTTCCACCCTTGTGCACTTGTTTCACGCTGACATTAGCAAGTATTGGAGAATAAACCTCCAGAAAAAATGTAAAGATTTATACAACCACATTCAGTTTGAATTTTATTTTTTTATTCAGATTCACCACAAAACACCTGAACGATGAGTCCACTCCAAAAAACATCCGGACAATGCTTCATTAATAACTGTTCTTTTTTTTTTTCTTTTTTTTTTAATAAAAACAAAAAAATCTATAAATATGTATGAAGAGGATCAATGTTCTGACCTCAGATAAGATGTAAATGTTTACATTATTTAAAAGACTTGATGTTCATACTTGTAAACGTGTCTATATGCATAGTCATTCCCTTCATGTTGTTGAAACCTGAACACAAAATTAAAGATTGTATTCAGGAAAAAAAGATTGAGGATCAGCCTTCCAAAGAAAAATGACACTTGCATGTTGCAGGTGTCATTTTGAAATAAACGCAGCAGCACAAAAAAATGCGAGATTTTCCTATTGTTTAACGTCGCATGAAAGGTTTCTAAAATGTTTATATTCAAGTAAATCTGTCCAGAATCAAAGGCACCAAAAAATATCAGACAATGTTAAATGGAGGGGCTAAGTATTAGGGGTGGGTACAGGATGGACTGGTTTGATTCAAGTGTTTTCTTTATCATTATTATTATTTTTTACTTCTGCATTTGTATATGTTTTCTTACCCTTTTTGCAGCTAATTGGAAACATACATCAGTGACAAAAAAAAAAAAATCTTTCAAGCGCTCATCAAGTACACCCCCGTTTAGTCTTAGTTTCCTCAGGTTGATCTCAAAATCCAGTCCACAGTTCACTGTATGATAGTGTCAATGTGTGTGTTTGTGTGTGTTTGAAGTGGATTTTTGTTTTACTAAATAAATACCAAAAATGTTTGTCCTGCAAATAAGTGAGTGATCTGTTTGGAATATGGACTACGATTATTTTTTTTTTTTCTTTCTTGACAATGTTTGGGTGGTTTTCGTTGACCAAAGATGGTTAGGACACCGTCTCATTATAATATATACTAACAAGAAACTTGTGTGTCTTTGCATTTAAGAAGCTGCTTTCAAAGACGTTGCCATCAACATTTGAATTCTGAAAAATCTAAACACCGTAATTTCTGAGATTTGTTTATCGAAATGAGTATTTCCATCCCTAAACACTGATGGTTTACAAAACTCTCAGACCTCACTAATTCTCATGTTCTTTGGGGACGAACTTTAATGATAGTTCAAGTGTAATCAATGTATTTGTATTTTTTGAAAAAAACTAACTGTATTGACATTACTGATTACCGCTGCTCCTTATCTGCAACACCTTCGTGTACTGCGACGTTGTTTTCTTTTATGGTGGTTTCACTTTGTAAACCGTTACACGACTGAGGACATATTTAAAAAGCCACAGTTGAATTCAGAGGTTCTCTCTCATTCTTTAGTCCATGAAAATTTTAAAAAATCCTCCCTTGGAAACTGTCAAAAAGAAACGTTTCACATGTGAAGTATTGTAGATTTTTTAGCTCGCTGTTCTTTTCAAACTTCATTCGTTGCGTATTATGTACGATTATGTTGTATCATTAGGTCAAATACAGATTGTATTCTTCTTAACGGTAATTTTGAAGATTGTGCTTTGTGAGTGTTTATTTCTCAATGAATTGAGCGGGTGCTAAAACCTGCAGTGGCCCACAGGCCCGCCTTTGAGAACCACTCATCTAGAAAAGCTTTGAAGACATGTCCACACGAGATTTTTCTTCCGTTTTTACCACACAGTCTGTTATCATGATATCTCCAGCGCTGACATCACACTGTCATCACTCTGTGAAGCTGTTAATACTTAACCTGTGAAGACAAGTACTCACTGTACAGTACCACACACACACACTCCTAAATACAGTCTGATGGTTTCCATTCATTTAAGTCATGTATTTGATCCTGTCGTATTTAGTAATATATATATTTGCGTGCATGTGTGTCTGGCAGAGTGTGATCTGAAACAAATCTTCTGTCATGATTGATGGACAAAAGGTTCCATTTTGTTCTTTGAAATGCTACTGTTTGTCAGATATGTTATGATGAAAAAAAAAACTTCTCTTTTTTTTGTTTTTTTTTGTTTGTTTTTAACTGACAGATATTGTATTCTTTTTGGAGATCAGACTGTTTATAGAAATACTGTAGCTTTGAGTTTGTATTGCATTCTGAAGAGGAGGTGTTAATTGGATAATAAAGGTGGTACATTTTTATGCACTTTTTTTCTTCTTCAAATGCTAAAAATGTTGCTGTTTGGAATCAGGAACACTTTATTGACAGGTAGATTAATAGCACAAATATATGACTTGGCAGCATGTTTTGCAGCATAAACTTGCATTTAGAGGCATTTCTGGGACTTTTTCTCTTTTTTCTTTTTTTGTGACAGTTAATCTATAATCTTACAAATTTTTGGTCATATTTTCACATGTTCAGATATAATGTTTTTTGAAGTTTTTCAACGATGGTAAGGCTATAATAAGGCATG